AGAGAGAGAGAGAGGGAGAGAGAGAGAGAGGGGGGGGAGCGAAATACAGAGATATAACAGACAGACTGAGAGACAGACAGACAGACAGACAGACAGACAAACAGACGTACAAAGAGACAGACAGACAGACAGACATAGGGAGACGACAGAGAAATATACTGGTGGGGAGGGGGGGGTGTTTTGTACTTTCTAAATGCCACAATGAGTTATGATAAATAACATGTTGGTAAGACCAAAATCTTGTTGTCTCTATCATGGCCACGCCTTTTTTCATTTTCTCATTAACATAATGTGTTCCGTTTTTTGTTCTCGTCTATTTGTTTTCTCTGGCATGGTACAGGTTTACAACAATGATCTTTGTACAAAAACCCTAAGAAAACCAAACAGACAAACAGACAAAAAGCAAAACAAAACAAAACATAACAAAGAAACATACATAATTTTGCCGAAAACACCGAGTAATTACTCGTACCACCAAAGGTTTAACCCGAGGGGTATGGGAGGAGGGTGGGGGTGGGGGAGGAAATGAAGGGAGGTTTGAGGGAGGAGGAGGAAAGGCTGGAGAGGTGTGGGGTGGGGGGGGGGTGGTGGTGTTGTGTTGACTGAGTTTACAAAACGGTTGTCAACCATTTTATTTAAATGTATATATGTGTTTGTTTTAGTTAAGACCGCTATCAATTAAAAAAAAAAAAAAACGACAAAAAAAACCAACAACAACTTTGTCTTGCCTATTGTGTTTCCAGTTTTTTTTCGCTGAATACACGCTCCCGACCAAAAGATCAAAATGGTTTAATTTAGCTTGGTAAACGTTTTTACAGCGTTTGCAACTGCATAATGTCATATGAGAGCGAGACGCACAAGTTGGCTGTTTTCACTTTAGTTCATAGCACGGCTGGTTTTTTCCTTTGATAAAAATTCAAAAGCAAAAACAGCCATTTACACTTTAAAAATAGCTTGTATGCGCTCACGTGACCCATTCAGCTGCGAGCGCCGTAAAGCTCTTTCCAATAAATAAATAAATGTTTTAAAATATTTTAAAATGGAAGAAATAAAACTTTAAAAGTAAGCAAATAGCTCTATCTATACTTCTGAGTAAAAACCAATGGATTTGTTAAACTGGAGAACTCTGTAGGGGTCAACAATGGAGAACTGTGAGCTGCAGGAATGGCTCTGTGGCCCATAAAGCACAAGTCACACTCTATGAGCAGCTCTATCTGACAGACAGCGACCTCAGAATTACAAATTTCTTTTTGCTCCGAACCTAGTTTGAGAAATTTGACGTAAACATTTTCAGTTTCACAACATTTCATGTTTTATTTTGAAAAGCAATTCTTTGACTATCTTGATAACAACTAGGAAAAATCGGATGATTTTGATAGAGCAGAGAGAATAATAGATAGAGGCAGCGTGGTGGAATCAGGCTCTAGTCAAAATAATGAAATCGAAGAAAACAGCAGTTTTCTCCCTACTTAGCAATTTTTAAAAAAAATTCGTTTTTTGGCTCAAGACCTTTTATGTCCATTTACTAACACATTCCTTTGAGGATTTCACCGGAAACATTGATTAAAGGCGCAAAATTATAAATATACTGTTTCCATGGACTCTCCAGCTTTGGAATTTACCAAGTTTTGGCGGCCATTTTCTCGCTAATTTTACCTCTTAAACCAGGTGACCCCCACCTCCTTCAATACAAAATATCTCCACTTCTATTGAAGATGGATGGGTAATGTTTTCATTGAAAGCAAGACAAATGAACAAGCTATAATATGATACCAATAACTCATTATGCCCAAAACCTGACGAGAGCCTGAGTCCACCACGCTGCCTCACATATTTGGTTTTTGTCCTCATGGTTTCAGTAACTCAAAACGTCCAAAAGTGTCTGTAAGGTGGCGAGTCGTCCATACCCTATAGAGGAAGTTTTGGTGTTTTGTTTTTATTGTTTTTTCCTTTTTAGTAAGAGCTTTACAGCATTTCCAACACAATACAGTCAAATAAAAGCCGAAGATTAGAAATGATACAAGACAGCAGCATACACACAGAAAAGAAGAAGAAGAAATAAGGACAATAGATGTTTGATAGGGAAGAAGAAACAAACCACACCAGAGCACCTGCCCACCACCCACTGTTTAGTTTTTGTTTGTATTAGGAGGAGACACACACTGGTCACTTTCAAAGCAGCCCACGTACTGTGAGGTCTTGGGGAGGGGGGGGGGGAGGGAGAGAGAGAGAGAGAGAGAGAGAGAGAGAGAGAGAGAGAGAGAGAGAGAGGGGGGGGGGGAGGGAGAGTTGTTTGTCGTTCTTTTTTTTCTTTTCTAGACTCGTCCATCGTAATATAATCAGCATGGTGAAAATTATCAAGGTGGTGGTAATAATAAATCATAACCTACTATTAAAACAGTAAGACGTAGAGGTATCGATCCCTTTAAACAAAAACTACTCATTCACACTCGATACTAAAATACTCGAATCCTGGAAGAAATAAACTGAACTTGGCACCACGCCTCGACCGACGACCTCAGTGACGTCAGAAGAATGTCCCAACCGCGAAATGACCACCGTTCAATGATGGAAAACACACTTAAAGTAGATAAAACTTTGGCTGGCTGGCTGGTTCGTGGTATGTGTGTGTGGGATTGAGTGCAGAACTCGTCCCAACGATCTGTATCAGGCCATGGTTAGTTCACTTAATGTTATGTGTCTGTCTGCACACGGACATGGCTAGAAACCTTTTTCTGTTTGGTTTGTGGTTGAGACGGAACTCCTTTTTTGGGGTTTTTATAAAGTGTTTTACGGCACTCGCAAATGCATAAGGTCATATGAGCACACGGGACACAGCTAATATTTTCAGTTGGTAGGAAATTTTGAATTTTGCCCGGGTGGGGGCGGAGCCTACACTTATCGATTTTAGACCAACAAGGGATCTTTGACGTGCGCAACTTGCATACGGGCCCTACGAGATTTTTCGCCCTTGTCCGAGAAGGCTAGGTGTAGATCTTTCCTACCAGAAGATCAGGGGTGTGGCAGAAAGATAGCAGTAAGGAGGAGCCAAGGAGTAGCAGTAGAAATGCTGCAGAAAGAGTCAGGAGCCCAGAGGAGGGGGCAAAGGAGATGGAGGGGTGGGGGCAGAAAGTGGAAATGAAAGCAGACAACAGAACATTGCTAGAGAGCAGGAAAGGAGGTGAAAGAGGTCAATTTTAGAGAAGAAATTTTTTTTGTCGCTACCCGGATTCGAACCCGGGACCTTTTAATAAAAGGCCAACACCTTAACCTCTAGGCCACGAGAGCCCCCGACGGAACTCCGATAAACAAAGTGTGATAGATAGATAG